TCAAAAAAAGTAATCAGATTACTTACAAGTAACGCCTTACTGCCCATCTCTGAATGCGAGTGCAATAAATTGCTTTACTTTGTCTGTAAAATGATGAACATGATATATCTCACCTAAATTAACAATCTTACTCACACTCCTCTGAAGCGCAATAAACCCAAGAGTTGTCAAAACCTGAAGACTGGCAGGAACTGCATAGTTTCTCTGGGTTTGGCACAGTTGGACCCAGTTCCTCATGTTCTTAAAGAAAACAACTTTTGAAAGCCTAAAGCGGCATATGAGCCAACTATCATCCTGAGTCATAAAATCACAACTTGTTCTCATCTGCTCATCAAAAAGCTCCTCCAACAGCACCACATAATAACATTACGTACAGCTTTAGCTATTTGTCTGATTAAAATGTTGCATTTTTTTTATTTATTAAAAAAGACAAGCTAAAAACTACAGTCACAATTAATAAAGTGCTTTCCTAAAGAAAAGTGGAGGAATTGAGGTAGGTGTATGTGCAAACAGACAGAAATATGTGATGGCAATAAAAAATAAATAAATGTACAATATGACATATTTTAAAGTGTCAGAATGTAACAACTACAGCATTATGTCAATGACGTCTATGGATTGTGTTACTAAAATAAAACACCAACACCCAGTATCTGGATGGACTACAAAAACAAAAAAACAGTCACTCCTGAGAAAGCTATTTTCTACATATCATGTATTTATCCTCTGAGCAGACCTTTGTTTTAGTCTTTACAGTAAAATCCTCTGGTGTTGCAACCTGACAAGCCTGGTATGCAGACAGTGAGCATTTCCTGGTCTGGGTGGAGTCAGTGAGGCTGCACTTGGCTGAGGGAAGTTATGTGTAGAGTAAAAGCCTTGCAGTGACCTGCTCTTTACCCGGCATATTTCAAATACCACGAATCACCTGCGTCCACATCGGTGCACGTGTTTGCGTGCGTGTTTGTGTGTGTGTGTTTTGTTTGTTTTACCACATACTGCAGACACTTACATCAGCTGCTGACTTAGGCACTCTTTCTCTTCTCTCGTGTTCTGAAGCGCCACGCTGGAATTCTTCAACTCCTCACTCAGTGCTGTTTACACAGACAGACACACAAACGCTTACTTCATCCGATGAAGATGCGGTAAAAGCTTACAAAAGTCATCCTGCATAAAGACAATCCGGGGGTACATGAGAGCGACGGAGTGGGCCGTGTTTTCTATCAGATGGTTCATTGGACTTGAGCAAAGGAGGACGGCTCACATCAAATAAAACACTGTGCAAATGTGACATTTGTAATAATGAGGAAAAAACACAAGTGGAGGAGGAAGAACACAAAATAAAGCTCGTAGTGTATCATGAACAAGAGCTGATGTGAGAAATACACGAGGGTTGGTTAAAATAAAAAGTCATAGACACGAGCTGAACACGAGGAAGAGAGGGAGAGCCGAAAGACGGGAACGTGTTGACAGGAAAGCTGGGACTCGGGAGGTAAAACAGTGATATGGTAGGGCAGCCTGTGTTGTTGTGTGTCTGACGCCAAGGAGCTGCTGTATTGCTGCTGCTTCTTTACTTCACTGCCACCTTGGTGGTTCGAAACAGCATGTAGACAAAACCAAATCACTAGATTAAAAAAATAAAACAAGAATAAAATAGCAGAGAAACGTGAATCTTGAAAGGATCTTTTAACAAAGGCTTAATCTAGATGTGTGCTGCACAGGTACGGGGGGCAATCATTATTCTGCCGGTTTCCAGGCCACTGAATACATGTATTAAAAATGGACATGGAGGAAATGGCTGACTGAGATATTTAGACTTTATGTCAGGCCAACAGCTTGTAATACTGCAGCGCTGGACTTCTTTCTCCATGCAAGAGTGGCTCTCATGCAAGAGAAAAGCATTTATGCTTCGAGTCCGAATAGTGAATAACATGCCACTGTTTTCACTGGAAAATCCCTGTGCATGTAGCTGTCATAAGTGTAAATATTTGCATACCAGCCCTCGTCTTCAGCTAAATATGTATAAAATGACAAAGGCTTGCAATCATAAATTGCATAATCAGCAAGCACGGGCATGTACAGCTGCCAGTGGAAGTGGGCCACCGGTGTTTATCGATGATGGTTCTGCTGATAGAAGCAGCAGGACGAACTGTAAAGTGTATAGAGCAATACTCTCAGCTCATATTCAGAGAAATGCTACAAAACTGATCAGACTCAGTTTCACGGTGCAAATGGATAATGATCCAAAGCGTGCCGCAAAAGCAACCCGAGAATTTCTCGAGGCAAAGACGGGATATTCTTCATTGGCCAAGTCAGTCATTTTATCTCCAGATAGCGCATGTTTTTGAATTACCGAAGACAAAACTGAACGCAGAGAGACACCCAAACAAGCAGTAACAGGAGGCGGCTGAAGTAAAGGCCCGGCAGAGCATCTCAAGGGAGGAAACACAGCATTTGGTGATCATGAGTTCAAGACTTTAAGGAGTAATTGACTGTAAAAGACTTCCATAAAACTGTCAAAAATGATCTTTATATTTAAAGTAACGTTAGGTTGTCTAAACTAATACAAACTGCTGGTCAGTCTATTGTCCATTTATTCAAAACTACAAAAGAAATGTTACTGTACAAAAACTTTGGGACTTAATTGTAGATTTTTAATGCTTTGTTCACCAAGTTAAACCCTGAGGACTATTAGCATGAACTACTGTTAGGTTCTGTGGCTCTGCAATAATCAATCCCTCCTGCAATAACTCCTGCAGGTTGTAATAACTGCTGCAGTATGAAGAAATGTGTAGAAACATAATCGAGTTCAAGTTATTTATGATGTTTTGAAATCATGCCGGAGAAGTGGAGCTCTATAGCATTTTTGTTGCGTTGCCACATAATGCGTTGTACGGCAGGGTATCGTGGCTGCAGGCCTGGAGAGCTCTCAAACCAATGTCAGCCTGACATTCTCCTGCTCCCGTCTTTGTTTTCTTTGCTCTCTCCCTCTCTTGTTTTCTCTCTTTTCACTCTTCCCTTCACCGTCTCTCTTCTCTCAGTCTTTTTTTTTCATCCAGCTTCCTCTCTTTCTGTGTCTCCGTTTTCTCCCTCTCACCCTTTTCTCTTTGTTTCTTATCTTGGCTCTAACTTCCATTCCCCCTTTCTTTCGCTCGCTCTTTCAGCAGGAAAAGGGGAATGTAGGAGGTCCTTCTCCAACTGGCAATACACTGATAATTGCTTTCTGGTCACTGTGACATGACAAGGTCTGCCAGGGTAAAGCGGCACAGCTACACGCTCAGAAGGACACGCGCGCGCGCACACACAGCAAAGGCAAGAAGTGCGTGCGTGAAAAGCAGCAAACACACAGAAACACGAGCCCCGACAAAAGGCTCGGACAGAAAGACTCGCAAATAAACACTGCAGCAGCAGTCGTGTCCAAACAGCAATAGCTGTATAAATACTTGATGGAGCAGAAAGGTTTTGCGATGACAGCGAACCAGCTGGTCTGACTTTCTCCGCAGCCCTTCTATTGTGTCCTAGCTGCTAACAAAAAGACACACACAGTGTAACAAGGTGGCTGTAAAAATTACAGCAACTTACTAGCAGCTGGCCACAGACATTTTAGAATAGCCTCGCTGTATTGTCACTGGGGTAGTACTTTGTGCTGTGCTGTAGTCACAGAACATTTTTTTTACTCTATAATACACCACAGAGCAGTACATGACTGCTTTTGAACGCCAATACTTTAATAAACAACTTCTTCCCTTTGACATATTGACCAGTTATGTGGGGCTGGATCGATTGTTTGGTTGATATGTTCTCATCTGACCACATCCTTCCAGATTGGACGATCATTGATGTTTTGTTTAGGAAGAAAAGCATTTGTTTTGTTATTTTTGGCAAAGGGAGGACGAGACAAGATGTGAGAACTCCTCAGTCCTCAGCAACTTTGGACTCGGCCAACCTAACGCAAACTGCCAGGTCCAGTGTATTTACTGTTTATGTGTTCTCGACATTTGCTTGGCTGCAAACAACAATGTCAAAGAAGTCGTTAATGTGGCTCCATCTGTTAAGTAAGATGGCCAAGTAGTCAACTGGAAACTTTGCGGCGGTTTGCATATAACAGCTCAACAACCAACAAGGAAGAGCATCCAAGAGCAGTGAACTAACTTGACTTTGTTAGGCTGTGTTTAGGGCTTGAGGCTTGAGTGTCAACATGATGGAATTGGCATATGTCAATATGTTTGGTTTAATTATAGGCTTAGATGACATTTGCATCCAGCTACAGCTTCTGTTAGAAGCAGCAGCTCCACCCTTAGACCAAGCCGGATCTGAAGCCTCTTCAGATTTAAATGGAAAAATTATATTGTGATTTTGTTTTCCCCCCTGGGACATGAGGCCTGTCAACGTTACACTGAACTGTCCTGTTCAGATCAACAGCTGATATATTTCTAATTTCAGAAAATTGTATCAATATTGGCAGGTGGGCACGGGTCACTTCGGAGTCTGCTGCTAACATTTAAGTACAGTGGGGCAAAAAAGTATTTAGTCAGCCACCGATTGTGCAAGTTCCCCCACTTAAAATGATGACAGAGGTCAGTAATTTGCACCAGAGGTACACT